AAGGTAATATATTATTTCTATTACCACTAAATCAATGTCCTTACCGTTTTCTTTTTGTTTTACAGCTCTTTGTTTTGACACTGTCAATACAAACACAAAGTATTGTTATAATTATTACTTTATGGTTAATATTTTATGTATCAGTCCTATCACATACGTGTAAGAGTCATTGGTTAATTATTATTTCTCTTATACTTTTAAATTTGTATATTTGTACAGGTACATATTGAATTGACCGAGTCTTTACATAAGGTGACATCAATAAACAATAATTTATACTAAATCAATCTTCATTTTTCAAAATTTTGAACCTCTGCATTAAATATGTTTCATTATCTATCAACTTATCGTTTCACACATTTAAATTTTTCTTCTTAACCATCATATCAACCTACAAATTATATATAATAATTACATGTAAATTACCTATTGAGACTTGAGTTAATATTATATACATCTGAAATAAATAATAATAATGGATAGATTGTATGTAACTTTTAGTCTAATAGAATAGTATTAATATGTCTATTATATTCACAATTTTCAACAAGCTACAAATCACATTCTAATACTAAGTTTTTGTTACGTGTATAATTTATAGCAAGAAACATATTATATAAACATTCTATTCAACATACACTTAAACGAAATATATTAGAATATTTGCATTATAATATGTAAATAAAAGTTGTATAATGTAAAAAGTAGACAAAATGAAACAATAATTATATAAGCACATTATGAAAGAATTATTTAAATTGTGGATAAAAATAACTAAAATATCCACATAAGAAGTAATTTACGCAGCAAAAGCTTTTTATATTTTAGAGTGACAATTTGAAAACAATAATGTGTAATAAGTTTATTATTACATGAGAGAGTTGTGAAAGTGAGAGTAGGAGCGCGACGAGAGTGACAACCACTTAAACAATGAGAGGACGACGATCACTAAAGTGAGGATGCGAGTTATAGACAACCATGCAGAAAGGGTGCAGTGAAGAAGAAATTTTGGAGTTTGGTGTAGAGAGAAGGAAAGTGTGAGTGCACCATCATAATGTTAAGGAGAAGGAGAAAATTATACATATTATGTTATATAGTAAAGAACCAACATAGTATCTTTATTTAAAATTTAAAATTAAAAATAATATAATATCTCGTGTTTTATGTTGGTATGTACAACTAGCATGAAAATCATTGTAATAAAGTGTTACCTTTCTCATTTTCTATGTCAATTCTAAGTATAACGGTATATGAAGTCTCGTTATATTCATAATTTTGTCACTGATTAACTTATTTTGTGTTGGGTATCTAAGTGTGAGTCCAAGTCTCACATTGGATAGAAATGAGAAAGTAGAGCAGTATATAAAGATGAAAGACCCGTTAACCCATTGTCTTAAGGTTTTGGGTAAAGATATATAATTGGCTCGAATGTTATTGGTGTTTGTGTATCCCACAGGGTAACTTCCAAAAAATCGAAGCATATATAAAGGTGGTGACATTTTTGCAATTTCAACGAACTTATACACCTCGGTTGTAGGGGAACCGAAGAATAAAGCCAAATTACCTCGGTTAAAAACAAAACCAAGATGTAATGTTTTGCCACTTTCCACCTAAAACTAGCTATTCAATTGACAACTTTTTGAAATTGCCCAATTGCCTCGGTTCTCTGACCAATCGAAGTAGAAAAGTTCTGTTCGAAAGGGGTAATTTACCCTAATCAGATTTCATTTTGAAAACCCTTGGCCCTAGGTATCCTTTCTCGCGAGCCTTGGATATCCTTCATTTCTTTTTTCTCTTTATCATGCGAAATCCAAAAGCTTGAAGCTTCTGCACTTTTTCTTCACCGCGGCAGACTCAACGTTGGTGGCAAGTGCGACGAGGCGCGGTGAGGTCGTCCTGCAACGGTGGCGTTTCTACGAGGGTTCAAACTCCAACTTCTTTCTTCTCTCTTCTTATATCGGATCCAGGCCATCACCGACAACCGTTCCTGGCACGATCTGCCGGTAGTGAAGGAAAACCTCGCAGCAGGCAAGGGGAAGCCGTCGCTGATGCGGACGTAGACGCGAAGAGCTAACGAGGAAGGATGGGACGATTTGGACAACGGGGGGAGTTCGGCGGACATCCAGAGCAGGTCAACTAGGGACTTCAGGAGCTTGAACGGCGCGGGTGTGCCGGCGAGGTCTAGGTGGACGAAGGACATCATGCGGTCGCAGCTGGAGGCCTCAGCGATGAACAAGGAAAACTTCTTCGTGAGGAAGATGGCGGAGAACGATTCGCGGTCTGAGGGGCTTTTGCCGTCGTAGGAGGGAAGTACGTAGGGTTCAAAGGCTATCACCATTAATTGCCAGAGAAGTATCCTCATTTATGGATCCGTTCATTACCCAAGGAGCACCCGTGAGGTATTGTTACTCTCAAATGTGCTTTAGGGTCCTCATATTTTCTTATTTTTCTCAAATGGGTCTTAAAGTTTCTCATTTTTTTGCGTTTTTAACTTGTGGGGTTCCTTTGTTTTCAGATGTTGCCAGATCTTATTTAGAAGGCCAAGGAGGGAGGGTTGGATGTGATTCAGACTTATGTTTTCTGGAATAGGCATGAGCCTTCACCTGGCAAGGTAACTTAAAGTACTAAATAGTGGTTTCTATTTTTTCTTTCTTGCATTGCTTGGACACTGCACGGTTAGTATGTGAATTGTGGAAATATCAATGTTGTTGCTTTCTTGATTACCGAAGTATTATTTTAAGGGGAACTATGACCTGGTGAAGTTCATAAAGTTGTTGCAGCAAGCGGGCCTTTATGTTCATCTCAAGATTGGTCCTTATGTCTGTGCTGAGTGGAATTTTGGGTAGTGAACATGTTCGTTGTAGTTTGTGCCTCTCAAATTATTTTTTTGTTCTTGGTGTTTTCCTTTATGCCTCGAAGTATTCAACTTCTAATCTAAAAAAAATGTTTCCCAGATTAACACTTGCAATAGCTTCTATTGTGATTATTTCTCTCCAAATAAGGCTTACAAGCCAATGATGTGGACAGAAGCTTGGACTGGCTGGTTTTTGGTGCCTTGTTTCTTATTTTTTTAGTTTCCATGAGAATGCAAATTATTTGTGCTTGAGAGAACAAATGCTCAAAGGTTGAAGGCATTGTCACACTTGTATATTTTGTGAATGAAATTGGTATACTTCAAAAATAACTCATCATTTCTTGTATACAATTTTTGGTTTCAATGCTTTGGAGCTTTGCCTAAATGACTGCTGATTAGGAAATAATCCCTCTCAGAAGAATATCATATCTTTGTCTATTAAACTCCCTCTGTTGCAGAAAGATTGAGGAAAAAAAATAAACCCTTCTATTACCTCGGTTCAACTACAAATCGAGGCATAAGACCCCTCTACTACCTCGGTTCACCAGTAACTGAGACCAAAAGTCTAGCGAAAAAAAAGTAAAAAAAAACACCATCTACTGCCTCAGTTGTATTTGAACCAAGGCAAAATCATACATCTTTTTGTCTTGGTTCAGAACCGAGACAAAAAGGAATAGACTTTTTACCTCGCTAGTATATACCTCGGTTACGGAACCGCTGCTTATGAGCGATAATAGCAGTTGTCGTTTCCCTTAACTGCACTAGTGCAACTAAATGAGACAATAATATATAAGTATACTGTAAAATAAATATTTAAACTATCATATTAAATAAACATGTGAATATAATTAGTTCAATATAAAAAATATGATAAAAATCATATTAAAAAGCAAGAATCACAATATAAGAGCTAAAATAGATAGCAATTAAATGTAAGTAGCAAATAAACTAAATGGAACAATAAACATATAACCCAACTAAATGGAACAAAAATACACACCATATTCACAAACAAATATTTAAACTATGAAAGCAAATCAACATGTCAATATAGTAAGTTTAGTGCAACCTTGTAATAAAAAGGAAAAAAAACCACAATGTAAGAATTAAAATATATACATAATTTTTTTTATAGACAGTTTAACATCTAAATAGGACAATAGAACTAAAATGTAAGAACTAAAATGTATATATAAAAATAATTAAAATTAAATAGTAGATCAATTAAATGGGCCGGCAAGCATAATGTAAAGAATGTCATCCAAATTTTAATAAAAAAGGATACACGAATCATAAACATTTTGTTCAAACTTTACTTAAAGGCATAAAGCATATTAACACATAAATAGCAAGAGTATTCATAGAGATGAACAATAATCTAAATATTACAACTAAAAACAATTTGAAACAACCCAAATAAAACTTAAATCATAACGTTTTATCTTTTCATCCAATCATTTTCATAAACATAGTTTTTTATTTTCTTAATGAAAGTCCAAACCTTTAAAATTAGAAACAATATTTCTCATTATATTTCTTAACAAAATACCAAACATCTTCGTTCAACCTTCGAAACTTCAATCATAAGTTTCTCACAAGCATTTGCTTCGTCTTCATTATAACAACTTATTGTAAGAAATGGTCACTTTAAACTTTTTTTCACGTGCTACAGCAATTTTAATTTTAATTTTTTTCGTACACAATATTTACACCATATAAGAACAATAAAGAAGATGAAGTCGAGTAATGTCGTAAATAAATAAAAAACAATAAAACTAAGAAAATAAACCGATATATATACACATCATAGTAAATCCAATAACTATAAGCAGCGAAAATGATAAAAAGAAGTAACATAAATAGTATGTCTCAACATAGTAACCATGGTAAAATGATACATTCCATAATTACAAGAAAGCTAAAACTACAAAAAGACCACCTTAATGTACAAATGTACAATAGTAATGGGCAATTTAATAATGTTCGAGGTGGCTTGTTTTCTTAGTTGTACAGTAGATACTGACCGTCATATTTGTGCCAACCACCTCCGAACACGTGGCATTTTCCATTATCTATTGTTTAATGAAGAGAAATGACAAAAAGACTTTGGAGTCAATCGTAACTTTCCTAATTTCCTTCTCAAATGTAAGACTAGGATGAAAAACTTCGTGAGACGAAATTAGAAATCCTCCTCAAGTCTTCTCTGTGATTTCGGCATCATTTCATGGTACTTTCGTTCTTTGGACCAAAACACTTTTGATAAATCCCTCCACAGAGATCAAACCTCGGACCAAGCTCAATTCTCCTTCTGCAAACTCAACGATCTGGTATTTGAATTTGAAGCCATGGATGACATAGTTGATTGGTCTGAACTTCCCCTAGAGCTATGGCCCAAGATCGGAAAATCTCTGGAAAATCACATGGATGTTGTGAGGTTTCGCAGTGTGTGTGAGTCATGTAGATCTTCTATCCCTCTCTCTCTTCCCAATTCTCCTTCTTTTCCTATGCAGATTCCTCAGCCCATGAACCAATCCATAGAAACCGTGCTCAGCCAAGCCACAGTCTTTGTTATTGAACCAAGCTTTGGAGCCTCCAACTTGGAGCCCTTGGCACCTTCTTCCAAAGGGTGGCTGATCAAGGTTGAAGAATCAAAGAATCATTCCTTAACTTTGCTTAGTCCAATATCCGATCGCAAAATCTTGTTCCCTCATGGCGCTACTTCTCCCATGCTGTGGAACTTGTTGGACTATCGGGTCACTGAGTTATGCAAATCATACACCATTCACAGTCGCTTATCTGCCACTGTGAGCAAAGTTGTGTTCTTTCCCAATTCCCCTTGGATTGCTGTTGAGGATTCCATGGCTTGTTGCATCTTTTTGGAGGGGAGGTTGGGGTTCTTGAAACACGGAGATGAGAAATGGACTCTTGTGGATGACAAAAACTTCTTCTACGACGATGTTATCGTGTTCAAGAGTCAGTTTTATGTCACTGACAAGTGGGGTACCATTTCATGGGTCGATACCTCTTCCTTGAAGTTGGTGCAGTTTTCTCCTCCGTTGTGTGGCTTTGGGAACAAGAAGCATTTGGTGGAGTCATGTGGGAGTCTCTACGTTGTTGATAGGTTCTACGAAAGTGAACCCCCCAGAAGATGGAACTACGTTGGACGTGCGGATCGTGATGCTGCAGTGGAGTTTTTCAAGGTTTATAAGTTGGATGAAGAGTGGGGAACGTGGGTGGATGTGAAAAACTTGGGGGATAGAGCGTTTGTTTTGGGTAAAAGTTGTAGTTTCTCTGTTCCTGCCAAAGAGATAACGGGGTACCAAGAGAATTGCATCTATTTCACAGATATCTTTAACGTTCGTGCGTACAACTTAGAGGATCGTAGTATTGTGGCCATTGACTTTGATCCCTGCATTGACATGTCTCTGTGTCCTAACTCATCTTTGCTCAGAATTGGAGGACAAAATCAGCTTCGCAATAACTGAGTTTAAAAGTACACTGCTTCCATTTCTCTTCCTTTCTATGTTTCTAGTTTAGTTAGTGGTGTCGATCTTACCGAATATGTACACATAAAGGCCCTGTTAACTTGATGGTGTTTATTCATTTGCACATGATGTTTATTTCTGGATTACTCTACGGCTTCCAAAAAGCTAGTTCATTCAATACTGTTTGTGCTGTAACAGTAATGTACATTAGTTCAATTAAATATTTGGATATTGCACAACTCCAATTCTTTCTCTCTGTGAACACATAATCACCCTAGACAATTAACATGCATAATTTTTCTGTGTATCTCTTCCTATGATCTGTTTTGAGCACTTTACTGATACAAAGTGATACTTATTTTGATCTCTTTGCTGTAGGATATAAAGTGCTAATAGGTTTGATAACTATACTGAGATATGAGCTTTGTTGACGTAACGCAACTGTGCAAAGCTTTTGTGTGGACCCTCTCCCAGAAGAAGTGCAGACACACTACTGTTTGGCATACAAAAGGAGTTTTATCTTGAGTTGTGGAAAATCACTTTTCCTGTTGAGAAATTATCGGTTCATTTGCCGAATGACCCCATGTCACAAATTGGTTGAGATGAAAAGCTATAATACAACTGGTTTGTTCTACGTGATCTGATAATTTTGACTCTGTATCTTATTACAAGAATCAAGAACAAAATAGTGGTATTTGTTCCACTTAGTGTATAACGAGCCTGTGTTCAAAAGTGATACATCTTCTCTTGCTACAATCAAGTACGTCTGTCTTGATTCATGATAAAATGAAAATCCAATTTTCAGTTCATATAAAAAATGGGGAAAGAAACTAAATTTAGCTAACAAAGATATAGCAACCATATTAGGTAAAAAAAAAAGATAAATGAACAGTGTATGTTAGCCATTATTGCACACTGCTGGATATTCAGTTGCAACTTCATTTGACCTTCTGATATTTTTGTTGGAATGAATAAGAAAAATGAAATTAATGAATTGAGTTTAAACGGCCCTACTATGAAACTAGCCAAGTCACAAAATATATATGAAAAAACAAAGTCAAGAAAGGCAACCTATGTGGAACACTTGGCCATCGTTACAATGAAGCGAACCCACCTGGGACGCTTTTATCGTGATATGTCTCCGTTTTTGTAATCTTCTGTTATGAAACACGTTAGATTAGTTCCAAGAATTTCCACCGTTTCATAATTTTGTTTTTAAGCGGATATTTGATTAGACAGGAATTTAATAGAGAATGAAAAAAAAAATGTAACAAATAAAATAGACGTTGCTTGATTAGAAAGAAAGAAAAACACAAAAACTGAAATAAAGATTATTTATATTAAAAATAAAAAAGTATTTATTATTAATGTTTTCTATTATTATGAAACAAAAGACCATCGTATTATTGCGTGTTCAACAAATTTTCAGTATCTTTCTATTCTTTTTTAATTTATGGCGTGAACTCTTTCTAATTTTTCAGACTATGCTTTCCTTTTTCGTTCCTTTTAAAACTACTGGTTCCTCTTATGACTTTTTTTTTTCTGTAGTGGCATCTTTCATATTTTTAATTGCCATCACTAGATCTATATATATTTGATTTCTTTACCTTTTTATTGTGGGTGCAATTTTTTTATTATATTTATTTGAAAAAATATAATTTTTTTATTTAAAAAATATAAAAATAAATATTTAAAACTATAGAAATAAATCAAAATGTTGTTAAAAGTAAAAATATAACAAAATATCAAATTTTTAATTGACATTTATAAAATAGAAAAAAAATATTAAAATTCATTAAAAGAATCATTTAGAAAACATATAATAATAAAAGTTACAGCCTCTCTATGAATTTTGTTTTTAATTTTAAGAATTTTGAGTATTATAATTTTTTTTATTTAATAAATATTTTGAAATGGATATTTTAATTATTGAAAATGATTAAATATAAATTTAAAATGTTTATAGTGCAATGTAAAATTTTATTATTTAAAAATTAGTTACGAGTAAAAATTAAAAACAATTAAATAATTTTTTAAGTTATTGGTTTCTTAAATTAAAGTTAATAAAAACTCAGTAGAATTCGGCTCCTTATAAATTAAATTCTGATTTAAAACAAAATCATGTTATATATATATATATATATATATATATATATGTCGTAAAGTATGTTGTGTTAAAAAGAAAAACTCCATTTATGTAAAAAAAAATTCAAAATACTAGAAAAAAAATTTCAAAACATCTTCACGTTTAAATAATTAAAGACAATAGTATTAAATTTTTAAAAATATTTCTTTACATTTTCATATTTAAATACATTAAATATAATCAAATTTATTTCAAATATCTTAAATTGTTATATTTTTTTATCTTATATTTTATATTTCTTCTAAAATAAAATTTTATAAATAAATTTCTATACTTTTTCTATTTTCAAAATTTCAATTAAAAAATTCTACATTTTGCTATATTTTTTAATTTTTACTTTTATATTTTTTTTCTAAACAAAACATTTTTAATAAATTTTAATACTTTTCTATTTAAAAAAATTATAAATTTCAATCAAAGCATTCAACATTTTGTTATATTTTTACATTTCTATATTAATATATTTTTTCTAGATAAAATTTTTAAACAAAATTTCTATACTTCTATAATTTTAAATATTTATTTTTATATTTTTTCTAAATAAAAATTTATATTTTTTTCAAACAAAAATGACATGAAAATTACAGTAAAAGGAAAATATAGAAATAAATGAAAGAGACCACCGAAAGGAGAAAGTGTCCTCTTTCTTTACGAACAAATGTTAAGTCGCCGCGAATCTTTTTAGACAATTCACTCTTAATTTAATTTTTAAAATTAATATTAGCAATTAATTGGTTCTCGATAATCAATACTACAGAATTAAAAAATTACTATTTAAATTTAACTATTATTTTCAATATATATAAAAGTTGATTTTGTTTTGTTTGAATTCAATACCAAATGACCAAAGTAGAATAAAATTAAGGTCTAAATTGACGACTGAGGAATACTAAATCGCACACCAAATTGACCTGTACTTATCAAAGTCAAGGATCAGACTGACATATTCCTATCATTCGAAATTAAAACATCCACATCTATATATTTATTTGACATGTCTAAATTCTGATATTATCTAAATAAATGACCAATATTATTTTTAATATATAATAAAAAGTAAAACACGACTAGCCAATTTTTTTTATCCCACTTCTATTGAAATAATAGCTGTATAGTTATAACTTATAACAAAAATATATACTAAATATCTTCATAATATAAGAATAAGATATCCCACTTCTATTGAAATAATAGTTGTATAGTTATAACTTATAACAAAAATATATACTAAATATCTTCATAATATAAGAATAATAATAAATATTATCTATTTAAAATTCTGTGTAATGGAACATGATGAGGTGTGTCCATAAGAGACGCAACTGAAAATTATTGGTGGATAGAGCGAAAATAAATTTTATGATCTAACATCCACACTTTCAGATTCCACGCAATCTGCACAGTACTTTCAGAGTGAACCTTTAATATATCCAAGAAACTCAGGTTGTAGGTTTTTTCATTGTTTATTAGTGTAATTTCAAATTAAAGTTATCCAAATAGATAAATTTTAAAAATTCTTTTATTTGAGTAAGTTGTTTTTATAATACTATTCCATTTTAAAAAAATTATGTATATATAATTTCATTTTAGATTTCAGAATTTTTAAAATGAAATCATATTGGTTTAAACTATTTTTGTGGTGATACTCGTATAGTAGTGGTGGTCGTCGGGATGTACGACTGTTCTTTGTCGTGGTGGCACAATTCCTCCTGGCGACAACTCAGGCGTGGTGGCACTCAAACAGTAGTTGTTTGTGCGTGTTTCAAATCTTAGAATCACGTTCATAGTGATGGTTTGTGGTCGTTGTTGGAAGTCTCATAATGACTAGAGATAATACCAAATTATAATATATAAGTAGTGTGCAATTCTCACCATACAAGCCGGTTTTGTGGGTTGAATTAAGCTTAAAATCAATTTCTTAATATGGTATTAGAACCATATTTAGAGTCTATTCTAGCGAGATCTATGTGGACATTCTGTTATATCCGTTGTCGGGTTACTATCGGATCACCCACTATCGGACTACTCATTAATTCTACTTTCACGCTCGATATGTCTATACTTCAGCGTGAATGGGCTGTGTTCGAAGTCCTATATCAACTAGAGATAATGTCAAATTATAATATATAAGTGAGATGCAAATCACACTATACAAATCAATTTTGTGGAAGAGTTAGGCTAGGTATGCTGGTTTGGATGGGGTTGTTGGTTCTAGCTGACAGGGAGGCACGCGTTTTGGCATCTTGATGCATGCCATTATGTATTTATTCATCTTTTAAATTCAAATCCTTTTTCCCATGCACCATATAAGTGCATTAAAGCAATTCCAGTAGTGTTATGTTTCTTTGATATTATGGGGTACGTTTCTTTGATTAAAGCATATTATAGGGTCATTGTATTGGCATGCGTGCTGTTTGGGAATTGAAATCTAAATGTCCTAATTGTTTTGTTTTGAATGACATGTATAATTAGGATGAATACGTGTGTTTGGAACAATTGAATTTTAATTGCATTACGTGTATGAAGTGTAAAATCGATTTGAAGTGAGCAACAATTGGAAACACGGTAACGTGTATGATTTGTGAATTTGGAATTCAGTGGTTTGATTGAAAAATCAAAACCCACTTTTAGGTGAATGAGAATTACATAAGCAATTTATTTTATTATATATATATATATATATATATATATATATATATATATTTGATTTTGATATATAAATATATCTTGTTTTGGTACATAAATAAAAATATTCAAATTTTAGTAGTTTAACATTTTTTATGACCTTGAATCAAGAAATCGTCAAAGTGACATTTCTTTAATAGATAGTTTGTTAGAAATGTTAAATGTTTGTGTTTATGTATATTATACGAGTATTGATTGGATCAAAGAAAGATTAATATTTGGTCGGATTACATACACATATTGTAAGTCCCTGAAAATGACATGTAGAAGGGAGAGACAAATATCTCAAATAAGGAGATTGAGCATTTTTATAGAAATTTCCAAACCGCAACTCATCTCATTTTTCTCAGAATCTATATCTCTCTAAAAACTCAAGCCTCTATCTTTTCTCCTCCTTCTCTCTAGAAATTCTTCATCTCCTTTCATTTTTTCTCAAACAGCCATCGTTTAAGCAATCTAGGAGTCAAGATCATTTTCTTCCACTGATCAAAATCAAGCGTAGAGTCGATAAGTTCATCCTCTTCTTAGAAATTTTGTTTCCTGGCACATGCAAGCCAAGTTTCTGGTTGCATGTGTTCATCAACTTCTTCTTCTTAGATTCTGATCAATTTTTCTGGTATTTTGGGTTGGTACATTACCGCAAATCGGCGAACTGTAGGTTCTTGAAAATTTTGGTGTTAAGAGCAAATTTCTGAAGTGGTAGAGTTGTTCGGTCCAGTTAAGAGGTAAGGGAAGTTAGTTAATTTAACTGTTTGATGGATGATGTATGAAAAAGGTTGTTGATGATTCTGTATGTGTGAAATTGAATGAGTTGATGTTTGGTGATATTTGTGTGGACTATTATATGTTATGTTCATGAGGTTTGTGATGCTGTATAATTTTGGTTCAATGACTGAGTAAATTGTGAGTGAATTGTGAGGAAGTGTGATGGTGAAATT